CCCAGCTCCATACTAATTTAATATTATATTGTGTGCCAGTTCCTAGAGCCTCTTTAATAAACTGCACAGGAATATTTAAAGCTTGATATCGCTTCTTTAAGTTCCATTTATTGTTACCTTCCATCATGTGGGCACTGGGTTGTGACAACGAAGGTCAGATGATGACTTTATGACCCAACCACTCTAGCACTGCCAGGAAAGATGACTTAATTACTCACCTTCAATAAAATTACGTTGATCGCCTGAAATGTCCAAATTGAATCCAAGACCACATCGAGCGTTCAGTTACTTACCTAACCACTAGGCTAGACCGAGGCGTTCGCTATTGCTTATAATGAATGGTTGATGGGGGAGGTTTAAAAAGTTAACATCATCAAATTATATTTTAGTGTGACTACTTAGTGTTGGAAAGGATACTGTTGGTTGATAGGGTTAAAATATGAAGCATAGAACTTCGGGCTGCTTGAAAATCTATGATGTGGCGAGTTACTAATTTAAAGCAACGATTTTTAAATTGTCACCGTGCCGTAGCGCTTACTTCCTCTAATAATTATTCGATTATAATCGAAAGAAAGAGGAAATCGGAATTTGTATTATCTACCTACTTATGCGGCAGTTATTTTTTGCACCAGATACTTTTAGGTGACCTAAGCGCGGACGTAACGTCTATTCTGAAGATAGCAGGGCTGGCTGGCTGATCAACTCTTGATATCCTAATAATTTCCTTCTTTTTAACCGACTTCAAAAAAGGAGGAGGTTATATGTTCGACTGTATGTATGTTTTTTTTTTTCTATGTATGTTCACCGATTACTCCGTCAATTGTGGACCGATTTTCAAAATTCTTTTTTTGTTCGATAGGGTACACTTCTGAGGTGGTCCCATTGTCACCAAGTCAGGATCTGATGATGGGATCCTAGGGAAATCGAGGGCAACCCTCAAATTTTATAGGCACGTATATCGTTTTTCAAACTTTTTCTTAAGTTATTCAAGTATTTGCTCCTGGAAATCATCATCTCATATTGATGAGCTGATGATAGAAGGTACAACTCCTTGGTGCTTAGGAGTTGGAGGATAATTCTTTTAATTTTATAGATAACTATAGTTTCTAAATTTATTCAAGTGTTTGCATCAGATAGTCATCATCTCATCATGATGAACTGGTCATGGTAGGTACAACTCCTTAACGCCTAGGAGTTGGAGGATAATTTTTTAAATATTATAGGTACAATTAGACCCACAGTTGTATTATTTCATGTTTTTAAGGTAGGCTGACGGTTTAAGGTCTTTTTAGGTTGCCGATATGATAGCCTGTATTTTGTAGGGAATATTATTTTACACTTGACATGAAGAATATAGTCTCAATGTACTGCCTACCTTCAGTGGTAACATCAAGACAAATCTAGAGCCATTTTCAGTTTCGTTGTTAACGAAGCGTTGAATGGCGCGCCCGGAGAGGCTTAGTTCAAACGATCATTGCAAACGTTGTGATAGGGATAGAGATATGCGATTTTTGGTTTTACGAAGGTAATACGATAGAGAATAATACAAAGTAATAAAAACCACCGGTTATAGGGGCATTTTTTGGAGAAATTTATCAAATAACCAAAAAAACACGAATTTTAAAGCAGATTTTTTTCAAAAAGTATCATTTTTTATTATTTGTTGGCCTTTTTTATGTATTTTTTTAGTATTGCCTGTTATTTAGCATTATTACTGTTTTTATTTCATCAAGATATACCTCTTAGTTTAAAAGTTATTACGTTTTCTTTACAATAAGTAATTGGAAGAAAAAAAATTCTATAAAATTTTTTAAAAAAATCTCAAAAATTTTTTGACCTCTTTTTTGTCGATAAAAATAGGTCTAGTTTCATCTATTTTCATATGTACACTTTAACGTGACTCACACTGTATGATGTTTCGTCGGTAGCCATCAGGGTTTCGACTCCAAAATATTTTATTTGCATAAGACAGCGACTGTGTGTACTCACTCGTTGGTTCAAGGAAAATATGTGATATGTTGACGGGATTATCTTCGTTGTAAAAGGAATACAGGTAGGTAGGTATACGCACCTACACACAATGGAGGAAAAATAAACATTCCGCGTTTCTGCGTCTGGTTAGGTATTTCTCGGAACTTGTGCTGAAGCCGTTGTATGGAGATGTGCGTCATTCTACGAGTATATGAAAAAAATCTGCCGATACCGAATTGTGCTTAATGCTAGTCCTGCAAATAATAAAATCCCATCAAAAACAATACTTGTCAAAAAAACCAAGTCTCGCAACTCAGTTGTTCTACGGTAAAAAGTTGTGAGATCCATGTAATACCAAGTCCAGGCCAGGAAATCTTTAACGTTTTACATAAATATATTGACTTGGCCATCGCATGAAAACACGTGTAAATTAAATTATTTAGTGTATTTTGCAGGACTAGCATTAAGCACAATTCGGTATCGGCAGATTTTTTTCATATACTCGTAGAATGACGCACATCTCCATACAACGGCTTCAGCACAAGTTCCGAGAAATACCTAACCAGACGCAGAAACGCGGAATGTTTATTTTTCCTCCATTGTGTGTAGGTGCGTATACCTACCTACCTGTATTCCTTTTACAACGAAGATAATCCCGTCAACATATCACATATTTTCCTTGAACCAACGAGTGAGTACACACAGTCGCTGTCTTATGCAAATAAAATATTTTGGAGTCGAAACCCTGATGGCTACCGACGAAACATCATACAGTGTGAGTCACGTTAAAGTGTACATATGAAAATAGATGAAACTAGACCTATTTTTATCGACAAAAAAGAGGTCAAAAAATTTTTGAGATTTTTTTAAAAAATTTTATAGAATTTTTTTTCTTCCAATTACTTATTGTAAAGAAAACGTAATAACTTTTAAACTAAGAGGTATATCTTGATGAAATAAAAACAGTAATAATGCTAAATAACAGGCAATACTAAAAAAATACATAAAAAAGGCCAACAAATAATAAAAAATGATACTTTTTGAAAAAAATCTGCTTTAAAATTCGTGTTTTTTTGGTTATTTGATAAATTTCTCCAAAAAATGCCCCTATAACCGGTGGTTTTTATTACTTTGTATTATTCTCTATCGTATTACCTTCGTAAAACCAAAAATCGCATATCTCTATCCCTATCACAACGTTTGCAATGATCGTTTGAACTAAGCCTCTCCGGGCGCGCCATTCAACGCTTCGTTAACAACGAAACTGAAAATGGCTCTAGATTTGTTATTTTGATAAAGACGAGTTAGATTTCAAATAAAAACAAAAGATTTCGAAGCAAAATAAGCATTTTAGTTAAAATTAAAATTGTCTCTAAAGTATCAATCATGGTATAACATAAATATTAATTCGTCCTAATAAATAAGTAATTAGTAGGTAATTATTTTTCTACTTTTTAGTGTTAGTTTTTTGGAGTCGGTTTTTTATGAATATGTAGCATTATTTATTTTATCACACTAAACTATTGGTGCAGTTCACACATAATTTACCAATGTACACCTACATGCAGGTTGAAAAAGTTTTAAACAAACTGTTCAAAATGTTTTAAACAAGTGTTTTATTTGTATTTTTTTTTCTTTATAGTAAATAAACCATTAATTCTAAACCAATAGGGATGTTTCCTAGATAAAAAAAGTAAGTTTGTTTCTTGTGCTTTAGCTAACAATAATATTATACCTATGTAGGTATGTACTTCTGCAAATCTCTTGGTAATGATGCAATAGTCAGGGAGATTGTCCAAGTCACTATTTACTCCACGTGTAGGTCGCACTATGATACTCGCACGTCATAAAAATAGCACTTAGCAACTACTCTACTTTTGCTAAACTTTATAATGTGAAATTAGGCAATAGTAAAATTTCACATTGTAATGCCATTTAAAACATGTGTAGCGGTCTCAGATCATTCCCTTCTATGATCTGAGGTAGCGGTATACTAGAGATCGAGATTTACATGCTGAATATTATCTATACTATTATTATAAATGCGAAAGTAACTCTGTCTGTCTTGCTTTCACGCCTAGTCGCCTAAACCACTGAACCGATATGGAATAAATTACTACCTATGACTATGACTATCCCAGATCATTCTGGGGGGAGGGGCCGTGCCAAACCACTCCGGCCTCCCACTATATACGCGCATAAGGACTGGGTGTTTTCTACCTATATTATACATATGCATTTACAAGACAAAAGAAAACATTTAAGTATGTCCATATTGTCTACCCATTGTCTGTTACCCATAGTGCTAGTATGGGACTGGATGGCGCAGTGTAAAATCTCCAAGGATATTTATAATTTATTTATTATTACTCTTACGAAATTGATAGTAAAGAGTTAAGTTTTTTTTACACAAGCTAATTGGCATGTTTGCTTCAGGATTAATACACTCGACATCAAATGATTTATTTGACCCTCCCGCGACGCGAACTTAAAAGATTTTCTTCCGACACAATCATGGTACCCCAACAATATTGGTGTTATTTGAAAGCCCAATAAATATCCTTAAAGAAAAACACATTTCATTTCTTAATAAATGATTAACATATACCATAAATGTGACTTGAAAAAAGACCTCACTTTGGGCTCACCTCTGGGATCAATTAGACCAATTTTTATGGTTATAAAACCAAATAAAGATCTCACGTGTCCTCTTTAACAGATGGATAGCGATTAATCCCAACTTAACAGTTTTATAGCCATAAAAGTTGGCTCAAGCGTAACTACCTATTTTTTGAAGAAGTGGCTGGATTCTTCTACAGACACATTTTTGGGATCCTTTAATGAAATGAAGTTTAGAACTAGGCTTTTAAAGGAAGTGGGGATGCATACGTTTGAAAGTGCTTGTCGCGGGAGGGTCGATTTATTTGATGTCGAGTGTAGATATTCAAACAATGTTAACTTCTCTCTAATTTCAATTTCTCTGATTTATTATAATTACAAGAATCTTGAAATTATTTTCGAAATAAACATTTTTTAAACTAGAGAGAACTTCATTTAATCATAAAATTACATCCACAACGCCAATATAACTCATCCAAGGAGCATACAGCATTTTTAACAACGCTTCTCATCATGTATGGTGGTCACTCTCGGTGTACTAGCACGTAAATTGCTAAACATGCCAGAACAGCAAACTGAAACAAAGCAAACAACATTATTATTAAATTGAAAAAATGACTCATTAAATTAACTTTAACATTAGGAGGGCATTTGGACCCACTATTATTTCATTTGTATGTCACAGCATATTAGTGAACTCCATCTTTTTTTTAAATAAAGATTTTAAACTGACATATTTAGATTACATCTCACGCGATATAACTGACGGAGTTCACAATTTCACTATGACATACATTTTTACATTGCTATCTTAATTCTAAATTAATATTATAACAAAAGAAATTACCTTAAACTTTGGATATTCGTTCATATAAATAGTAACCATGCCCACATAAGGCAAAAACCCTCTTGCACGGCCGACTACGTCTTTTTTGGTGAGCCAGAGCTGACCTTGTGCGTATAAACCTCGATCGTCAACACTGTTGTTATCACCTTTGGTTAGGAACTTTACAGTGCCGTTGTTCCTGGAATTGTATGAAAAACACACGTTAAAAATACCAAAACTAGAGCTTCTCATTATGAGACAGATAGTTAAATAATGTTGCTATGGATATCTGTCATAAAATATAGAGCATACAAGATATAAAATAAATGATAGATCACTTATAAATGTAATAAACTTTGTTAAAACTATGTAATAGAAACTATTTACAATTATTGTAGGCAAAAACTACTAAAACATTTTTGAATGAAGTTCAGGAACCTCATTAGGTCACACAGGTATTTGGCTTGAAAACTTTACCTAATAGGTATACTTTAGAGAAATATCATAACGCAGTTTGTACTTTTACTTATGAAATTGATTTGCATTTAGACTTATTTTGCCAATCGAACTCATAACCTCTGCAGGCCACATAAACATTTACAACTATAGTTTTAACAAAATGCAATTAAATAATGCTTGATTTTTTCATTTATTATTTTATACTTACTTTTCATGAAGTTTCAAAACCCTATGAACAATAGGAATGTCTCTTCCTTCAACTTTGAAGACAACGATTTCTCCAACTCGTACAGGTTCTTCAGGATAGTTCGTCAAGAATAAGAGATCTCCTCTGTGAAATGCTGGCTCCATACTGCCAGAAAGTACCACTACAATAGGACTTTCACTGCCAGTTACAACCATCAAACCTTTCCATATCATCAGAGCGGACGAAACTATCATACCAAAACTTAAAACTTGATAAATGAACTGGAAAATAAGGAAAAAATTGCATTTTATTCAACCGGTATAAAATAACTGTAAACGACGCGATTTTTGTAAGAAACATACCTGTCGCTTGTTCATGCGCTTAACATCATCAAATAAACTGTCCAACATTTTGATAATTTAATAGTTTTATGTTGAATTTAACACTAAAGTTTTTGGTTTGGTTATTCGCCTTTCCCTGTTGTCGACAAATCGAGCGACACTTCGACAATCCACGTCAGATAACAACCATAGACAATATTTTTTTTATTACCAGGGTAGTGGTGCCGTTTGAGCTCATTATCAGATGAGCTCTTTACCTCTTAGGCTACGCACGCACGGTTCTTGTTGTCGCCGTGATAGTATACCTGTCTCTTTCGCACGTGTAATGACAGAAAAAGAGAGACACTGTCACAGTGACAAAATTTACCCGTGTGCACCTAGGCTATAGTATAATGTTTTGTCTATGAAAAATAGGTAAAGTCGGGTTTGTATTAGGCATGGAACATTTCATGAATAGCAGGTGAAAAATCATATGAAATGAATTTCATTAATCACACCTGCTATTTTACTTCACATAGACTGCTATAATTTCACAGTCAATGAAATCACGAATCACATGAATTTCATTAATTCATTCGAGCGAAGTCCGTGAGCGCAGCTCTGCGAAGCGACCGAGCGAGTAAGAAGGAATGATTTGATCATGTGCGTGTTAGAAAAGGACAAGAGATTAATGACTGACGAAACTGGGCATTTTAAATATGAACTTTAAACTCAAAGGTGTAAGGTTTAGATTTCCTTGTCATCATTCGTATGATTTCATTAGATAGCAGGCAGATGAAATGAATGATTTTCACTAGTCGCGCGGTTATTGATGTGCTGTGAAACTGTTTGTTTTTTGTTGTGCGACATAAATGAAACAGATGTTGTTACATTTCATATTTTAGCTAATAAGCAATCCTTCATCATAATTCATACTTCATTAAAAGTAGCACATTATATGAGAGAGCTACATTAAAACACTGCGAATATTAATCATTGCCTGTGAAATTTCGCATGTGAAATCATATGAAAAAAAATCATCATTTCATAGAATGAAAATGAATGAAAAATAGCAATCATTTCCATGCCTAGTTTGTATCTTTACGGTTTCTAGCGCGTGTTTTGCCATACACAACCAGCAAAAACATATTATGGCGCACTTTAAATCGAAAATACTTATAGTTGCCATAGCGATTTTTTTCATATTTTCAATTTTTTTTTAAACTACGTTTTCGTTAAAAATTTTAGCATTTTCGATCTAAAAATACCACAGATATGGATTAGAGAAAAATACAGTGCGCCAGGGTCGAACATTTTGTTCCAAAACTTTCAAAGATGGCGCTACCGCAACTCTCCAATGGAAAAACTTTTGATTATATAGATTTTTATTGCAATTAAGGAAAATGTATATTGGAAAAAGTTTAACGCGACATGTCAACATCAATATTATCCGAAAATTTCAATTTTATTGTAACTGTATTAGGAGTTGTAATATCCGCAACTAATATTTCAGCTCCATTAAAGAGACCAAGATCAGATAATTTCTTTTTTAAATTATCCCTGGTTCTTTCCTCAATACTTTTAATTGAAGACATGTACAGTGTCTTATTGCGACCATTTATGACTGTAGTTATACCTGAAAGAAGATTTTGTTATGAATGAATGCATTCGACACCTTCAGGTTCAATTGTCGTATAAACCATTTTGGCCAAATCGAGTTATATATACCATTTTAATCAGAATTTTTTTCTCTATCGAGCTGTATATTCGAATTATTGAAATTCGCTAAAAAAAATGTTTATACGCCCCAAAAAACTATAGCCTAAAAGATAAATAAATACCTTATAAACAGTGTAAAAACCGAACGCTTGTTTTTGGTATTTTTGCTAAGATGTATCAACCATACATTTTTTTAAGCCAGGACGTAAAACTCTCTCGTAATTGAAAATGGTTTTTACGCCTAAAGACATGGCGTTTTATGTCCAGATTCAACGTCGTAAGTCCACGTATTCAATATGGTAATTATCTGTTTCATATTCATATTCATTTATTTATTGCATCACATATGTATGTATGTACAGTAAGTAAGTTTTTCTTATTTATAAAGTTAAAGAAAGTTGATTGTTTCTACTTTTAAAGATAATAACTAGATATATAAAGTTGCTTTCCAGGTCCAGTACATCCGTGAATAGAGGATGATGACTGGGTCATGAAATCGAAATTCTATTTAGTCCGTCAGACAGAGAATTAGAAAATTTAGACTCATGTTTTTAATTTTTCCCATAATCGAAGAATTACTGTATTATATTGAGTTGAAATGTCGCGTGACGTCACTTTTGAGCAAAAATTCTACTCAAGCGTGACGTATCGCGCCATTTCAACTGGATGTAGCACTGTTATTATTAAATTATGAAAGAAAATAAAAAATATGAGTCTCATATTTTCTAATTATCTGTTTGACGGACAAATAATTGAAATTTTGTCATCTAGCCTATTGATCTCGACTAAATGTGATGAATTCAAGACTTTTAAACAAAGAAAACAAGCCATAGTGTGCTCATTTTATACCCTTTTGAGATGCTCTGTAATAGTTTATTACTTTACAAGTACTCCAACTTTTAATTGTTGCCAGTAGTGGTTACTTTTAGCTGTAATTTAAATTTGGGTTTCTTGTAAAGATATAAATTCCTTAGAGAAATTCTCAAAAAATTACAAATCCTTCTCCTGAGCATACTGGGGCTCTTCTCTTTATGCAACATTTATCATAACCAAACGAAATCAATATGCGTCAGCAGAGAACCAGGAAAGCTGTCTTAATGTTTTGCTGTAATTGTATTTTTTTGTTCAAAATTTATGGTGATTAGTTTTGTTTAGAATTATTAGAAATATTATTTGTTTTGCCATAATTTTCCTGCAAAATTGTAAAAAAAAATGTTATTTTTCGTATGCAAGCAAATTTATTATTTCTACCTCAACCAAATATAGTTTTTACATTGTTAAATATCTTTGTGCAAATTCTCTAAACAACAAAAGCCTGGAAATAGTAAACAATACATTATTTACATACATAGTTTTAATAATACATTTGAATAAATCACTTTATCAATGGGTATATAAACCAAAAAAAAAACATCTAATGGTCTTTAAGCCATCAATTTCAGTCTCGTGTTTACAAAAAATTCAAATACGACGTAAGGAGTTATTTTTAGGTCAAATATAATGGGTCGTATAAACCACAAAGTGCCTTTTTCAACGACGTAACTCCAAGCTAACTTTAAAACTACTGAAGATGCCCATTTTTTAAATATTTAGACTTTTTCATCGCAAAAATTGAAAAATGTTTTCTTTTGGACATTTTTTTATAACTTCTCAAATAAAAAAGTTACGATTTTTTTATAAAAAAAAAACGTTTTTTGGCTCTCCTGAAAAGTAGGGTTTTGGTTTATACGACAATTGAACCTGAAGGTATCGAATAATTTATACAAATAGAAGATTTTGAAATAGTAAATATACAAACCAGGGCTCTTCATCATATAAGCCTGATCTTCACAAAGCTTGTCGTAAATTCTTTGTAAGGTGGCGTCAGATTCTATCTCCAGTACCCTCGTGGTATTGCTGCAAGCGACGCAGTCTGCCCGCCGCTCCGCATTGAAGGTGTATGTGTACACCCCATCAGCCATATTCAATACCATATAGTTATTCATGTTTGTGCAGCAAGACGTTGCCAGTTTAAATACCTGCCAAAAGCATTAAAGTAAGTACCTAGATTGTTCACTTATGGAATAGGTGTAACTAAAATATTTTATGATAGTCTTGTTCACTAACAGTGAACCTATCTAGGACATAAATGGTAGCATGTCCTGTCAAGCTAGAAAATTAGAAATATGTTTCTAACATACCTCAGTAGCACAAGCGGCTGCTATGGCAGCATTAGTGCTAGCAACAGCTGGTATTATATTTTTGAGAACACCTTGTGTGAGCCGGTATGTTACATTTGTAATACCATGCTTTAAGGCTCTCTCCTGAGCCTTCTCCAATACCCAACCTACATGCTGTGGATCATCACCATCGAGTGGTGTACTTTCGCCCCAAGGATTTTCCTTAGCCCACTGTATTACTTTTACATACTCAACGCAATGTTCTGGTAATCTGAAAAAAAAGTGAAAAAATAAGTATAAGTTGTTTTAAACATCTAGATGGAAATGTACACAATGTATCTATTACCTTGGAGTGTTAGCAATTGTGCACAGGGGAAATGTTTTCTGAGGTGGATATAAGTCTAAAGTGCATTCAATGCAAGCACTCATTCCAGGTAGAATAACCCTAGCATTTCCTTTGAACCCTTCAGTTCCCCCATCAACAAGAGGAATTACGCTGCTTTGATCTAAGCTTCCTGAAAATTGTCAAATATTAACGATAAGACTCATAATCATCTCAAGTCTATAGAATCTGAAAAAGACATACTATCATCATTGTATTGAAGTAATGACATGAGCATGCCATTCAGCCAGCGTCTGGCTACAATAGAATCCAATCCGCAGACCACAATGTGAAATTGACGGTAGAATCCTTCATCCAAATCTTGAATAGCACAATGATGTGCAACTGCTTCACAACCAGGTATTCTGCAAAACAAAAATGTGTCAAAAATATGAATCATAAAATAATACAAATAATGCAGCCACGATTTCCTCACCTTTTGTTAACAAATTCAACAGCACATTTAGCTTTAGATAGACCTATATCATTTTTTCTGAATAAAAATTGCCGATTTAAGTTTGAAAGTTCAATTGTGTCCATATCCACTATGTGAATTTTCTTGAAACCCATTAATGCAAGATCTTTAAGCAATTCACATCCAAGGCCCCCAGCTCCTACAACAAGAACCTTGCAGGAGTTCATAATGAATTCTAGTATCTCAGCAGATGGTTCGAAATCTGGATGACAAAATGGGCCCGAGCGCTCCAGCAACTTCCTGATATGTTGCCATCTCCTTTGCTGATAATCTAATGTCTGCGTTTCACCAGAAGCCATCTTTTTATCTGTGAACAATTCAAATCAAGGGTTTCATCAAGGTATTACAAACTTTGCATTTTTACATTATTTTTAAATACAAGCCCAGAAAAATTAGGGCCATTTTAAGGAATTGGTAATATCTAACCCAATACTTACCAAGTTTTTGTTATAGTTCCACCAGCCTGAATTCCGCAACACCGGCGAAAATGTTCAGATATTATGATGCTCTAAGAGTATGTTTTAGGCTATGAATCACCAGCGAGCTACAACACAGACAGAAACTTAAGTTATCTTTCTTTACAAATGATTATGCATATGCATAATACTAATAATTTTACTAAATAACTTACACAAAACCACAGTTATGGATTAGAGCACAAAACGTACAATAGAATGAAGAATCACATCTGTCACTGTCAAATTAAATAAGTGTCATCCATGAAGCTAAAGATAAAAATGGAGGGCAGAGTTGGAACAAAAACTTNCGCCACTACAGCCGCTAATTTACTGTTAGATTAACTATTTAATTAAATTTTATTTAACTCGCAAAGAAAAAGTTGAACCTCCCGCCTCGAGAGCTTCCCGCCAAAAAAACAATTTCGTTCATTGGGTGTTGTTTGACAATTTTGACACTAATGACAACATAGGGAGGGGCTTTTTTTCCAGACCGGTTGGTCTTCTTGCCAATATGTTTTCATACATGATAAACAGCCCGACTAAATTATCGGCTGAAAAAAAAAGTCTGTGGGTTTCTATAGTGTTTGAAAATTACTGTGATTCAATGCCAATCCTATTTGCCAACTTTCAAGTGTTTTTTTTCTGTTGAGCTCAATCAATTTGGCTACAACTAGAGAGTTCATTGCTGTGTCGTACTGTCGTAGTGTTATTAAAAAAGATTTGACGTTTGTCTTTGATTTGTGTCTTAAGTGACAAGAACTGTCAACCCTCTTTTCTTTCTGACCAAGTCAAAATGAAGTAGGTTTTTTTGAATTTTGTGTAATATCGTGTTAAATCATGATGATCTGAAATTATTTTGATATAAATGATTTGAAAGATGTGAATAAAGTGCCCGTTTAGTAATAAATGTGATCTATTTTCAGGATCGGTCTTTGCGCCTACAGTGGATACAAGATCTATCCTGGCCATGGAAAAACCATGGTTAAGGTGGATGGCAAGGTAATTTACACCAAATAACATAATTCACGCGTCTGTTGTTATTATTATACCTAAGACATTAATCCCATAGAAATTTATAAAATTGTTTGTGTACAATGTTTTGAAACATAACCTTAACTTTCTGGAAAACCTTCGTAATCTCCAATACCGTAGTTAATCTAAAGACACCTACACTCAAAATCATTAATATCATTTAAATCATACGTGTATTGCAATCTGTCGTAATTAAATATAGGTTATAAATTAAAATATCTATTTAATTGCTGATAGCTGCTAAGTAATGATTTTGATCTTTTTTTTTATTTCCAGACTTTCACATTCTTGAATTCAAAATGTGAAGCTGCCCACCTCATGAGGAGGAATCCTCGTAAAGTGACATGGACTGTACTCTACAGGTATGTTTGCATTTCTTAACTTTTGTGCTTCCGAAAAGTTTTACTGATCCATCCATTAGTACTAAACATTAACTGTTTGCCTTAACTTACTAATAACTCTTATACTTACTAACTTACTAATAATCTTAATTTCCAGGCGCAAGTTCAAGAAAGGCCAAGAAGAAGAACAGGCTAAGAAGCGCACAAGGAGGACCCAGAAGTACCAGCGTGCTATCGTTGGTGCCTCCCTCAGCGACATCATGGCCAAAAGGAACATGAAACCTGAAGTACGCAAGGCTCAAAGAGATCAGGCCATCAAGTGAGTATTGTTAAACTGGCAAAATGTTTTAAACTTAAAGAAAACTTTCCATATATTTTTTTAAAGATACTCTGAAGTGTGAAAAATATCTCAAACTTCAATGTAGACTTGTAAAATTATATTGAAAGTTTGACTAGTCTGGAATACAGGCATTCCTATAAGAATTATAAAGAAAAGCATTGTTAACACTCATTGATTTGAGCAAAATTTAGATTGTTATTAGTTATTCAAACTCTTAGGCTGGGTTGCACCATCTTACTTTAACTTTGACAAACGTCAAAAATCTGTCAAACTTAATATAACATACAAATACACCGGTTATCGTTAAAATTACGGTCAAAGTTAGGTGGTGCAACTCGGCCTTAGAAGTGAAAAATGAGTTTGTGTACTTACAATGTAAAGTTTTATAACTAAAAAACAAACAATTTCCTATTTACAGAGCCGCCAAGGAGCAAAAGAAATCTACCAAGGCCGCCAAGAAAGCAGCAGCACCTCCTCAGAAGAGCAAAACCGCACCTAAAGCTAAGGCTGCCAAAGTCAGTCAGAAGTCTGCACCAAGAGTAGGAGGAAAGCGATAAGATTCAAATAAAATAGTGACTTCATATATCTTTTTTCATTTAGCCCATGCCAATAATATACTAGATCTAGAACATTAATATATCATTATCTACCTACAGCTAACAAAGCTTAATCCATAATGAACATTTCATTTAGACAGAAATTGACACACCACCCAAAGCACTTTCATTCAGTTGTTAAAAATACATAAACTTGCCACTCGAAATTACCACAATAAATGAATAAACATCCTTGTACATTTTACACTAATAGGTACAATCGTTTGTAAGTAAATAGGTACCAATCGTACTAATTTAATAAAACTATGTAAGGTACAGTGGCGGCGTAAGGCGTAGGCGACGTGGGCCACCGCCTACGGCCGGCCTCGCGGAACAAGGGGCCTCGCGCATCAAAAATTTTGCTCACATGTCAAATTCAACTTTTAAATACTATTAAATATAAATTATTGATAGCTAAACAATGTAGTTAAAAATTTTTTTTTCCAAACAAATTCAGCCATAATCAGACACAAAGCAACAACACGGTTTTATGTGACAAACATTATTCTTTGGCGCAAAATTCCTTTAAAAATAATCACTGAATCAAGAAATCAGAAACTGTCAATGAATAGACCATTGACCCGTTTTTTTTATTATTTCATAAAATCCGTCTTCAGGTCGCCACAGAACAAGGCCTCGCGAAATCTGTCTTGCCCACATCAAATTTAGGTCTTGCCCCGCCACTGGTAAGGTACACACAATAACATTGCTTTTTCTCTGCGAGGATCGAACCCGCGAACTCTGGCATAGTGGGTAATCCGGGTACGCCACGCGAACCACCAGCCGTCGGTGGTGCATGCAATATCGTATCGACCACATTTTTTTTCTATGTAGAGGCGGTCGGTAATATGAGACGAAGCTTTTTTTCAATTTACCAACTTGCTCTAAATTGTTAGATTAAATCAGTATTGCTCACGTCAAAGATAGGTAGGTAATCACTTAGATTAATAAAACTATTACGTTTTATTAATCTAAGGGTAATCATCAATAACATTAACGCATATGATGATGCCCGGGTTGATTTAAACTTACGGCGAGCTACGAGAACAATGCATTTTGAGCGTCCTATAAAAATGGGATGCTATGCAAGTTGGGTTTAATGATGGTAAATACCTCGTAAAACCTGATTAAAATGGAGTAATGGACGCTTAATATTATAGGGTCATATCGCCCGTTTGCGTCCACCACCCTATTCAAGTTTAAACGACGCGATCTCTCTAAAAAAATACATTAACACCTGTCAAGATACATTCATTTCATAGAAGGCTTTTAGCCAGTATAGCTATCATAGAAACAAACTTTGGTTAAAGTTTGTTTCTATGAATTACGATAGAAACATTTAATTCCGTAAGATTGTATAACGTAGGTACAGATACTTTTTAATAACTATCAGATTAAACAAGGAAAATAACAAAACATTTATTTTCATAAATAAATTGGTTTATTAAACATTGCTAATAAATATGCAACATGTTTATGAATTACTCCATGATCACCATATCGTGTTCTACCGAGTCACACACTTGATGCTTGACGTCTTTCTTGTACTACCACTATTTTATTAATAAATATCATCACATAACACCTCGTTCGTTTATTACGCATTCTTGGCGAGAGTATCAGCCTTAGCAATAACTTCCTCAATAGGACCAACCATGTAGAAAGCAACCTCAGGTAGGTGATCATACTCGCCCTGTAGAATCTTGGAGAAGCCCTTGATCGTCTCCTCAAGAGGCACCAACTTGCCAGCATGTCCAGTGAACACCTCGGCCACCTGGAAAGGCTGTGACAGGAATCTCTGGATCTTGCGCGCACGGGCTACGGTCAGCTTGTCTTNATCTGTAGCTTCATGGTGTCATCCGCCGTGATCCGTCATTGATCAATAGAGTTGTAATTATGTAGCTCAAAATTGCATTGTGGTTGATCTTTTGAGCTAACATGATTTTTTAATAAATAAATAATTGCACTAAATTTTATTACAGAACATTAAAATTAATTATTGCATTAATTAAGTTTTGTTAGTTTGTTATTAAATTTATTTTTAATTTTCAACGTTTTATTATGAGACACTCAATTTACCGACTATCGTTGAGAATTTCGATCATAACAATTTACGTTCTGTGGGAGATATTCATTTGTTGAAAATGGAGGCGTGATGAAGGAGCATTTGTAGAAAAACCAGGATTTTCATGTTACCGATATTGGTGAACCCCAAGTAAGTAGAAGTGTTTTTATGTGGGCTTCGTTTGAAAGATATATTAAGAAGTTAAATAAAATTATTCAAATCTGCCTAGGACTAGTTTTATTGCTGAAAATTGAGGGAGAGACTGAGCATCTTGATAGTGTAGTAACGTGATATTACCATGCTTGATTCATGTGTTATGATCAGTATCTCATGTTAACAATAATTCTTTAACCTGACATATTATTCTTGAAAGTCTACACAGTATACTAAAATACTTTTGTCGTAGTGTGGAACTGTTGATATCACTGACATTTTGATGGTCAGCATTATTCACGATGTACCACTTACCTATGTCGCGTCGGTATCTTCTGCAACGTATTTGAAATTAAATGCATGTTTTATCTTGTTTGTAGATGCAAACATGGCTGGAAATAAAATTAATACAAAAACCAAGGGAAAGGAGGATAAAAACAAAGCAACCAAGAGCATAGTTCAAAATAATGAAGATAATGAGGATGTGGACTTCTCTTTACTCAGAAAACCAATACTGACCAGTGTCACAGGATTTGCCCAAGCAAGAAAAATATTTGATTTAGCTACTGAAGAAGTAAGTTGAAAAAAAAACTTCAATCTCAAAGCTTACATAACACCTTCTCTTGGTGATATGTTTCCTCTTAAATCTTGTTTACTAAAGTACATTAATTTTTCAGCTCAAAGATTTATTAACCAATGAATGTGATTTATTATATGAATGTAAAGTGTGCAGAAATATATTTAGAAGTGTGGCAAACTTTATATCTCATAAACGCATTTACTGCACAGAAAAATTTAATTCTTGTCTACATGGACATTTTTTCAAAACAACTTCAACCGTAAGTTTTTATTATTCTTAATAAAGTTTTTTTTTGCCAGATTAATGCTTATAATCTCATTATTTTATCCTAATATTGAATTTTTATTATTACCAGGTAAAAGAAATATTAAAAATTAAAAAACTAGAAGAAAGTTACTTGGAAGTAATGAAAAATAAAAATGGGACTGAGACTGTTGATCCTGATGAAGTAGACAACCGTATACCCTTAACTAAAGACCTGACCACGATTATTGAAAAGATGGCTAAGAAAAAGGAAGAAAATGGGTGTATATCCGAAGAGCAAAATGTAATCTTACAAAAAATTCCAAATAGCTCTGTGGCTGTCTTTCAAAGCCTTGATAATAATGAAGAAAATCAAGATAAAATGAAGGCACAGGTATGAGTCTTGGATGTTGATATTGTATGGAGGATTGAATAAAGTACTATTTTAAATTATGAATGTAACAGTTGTTATGAAAAAATGCTCTTTTTTTCCAGGTAAAGGAGATTGATTCTCTTATGTCTAAGGACAAAGCTATTCTTCAAAATGATGGGAAATTCAGTGTTCTAAGCTCTGTCCCATCTGAGACAGATAATGTTATACAAATCAGTGATGATGAAGATGACAACAGTGATAATTTAAAGTGCAAAATTTGTAAGTGCATGTCCTCCAAAACATCTTGTTAGTGTGATAATAATAATTTTATTATGATAATTTTATGCCTAGGTACTATAATTCAGTAATAACTTGGTATGTTTAGCATGACACCAACCACGTCATTTTTTACTATTAAATTTAATTTGAGCTTAATTTATTAACTATAAATTGTATGTTTAATTCTGTATCTTTTTAAAGTATGAAATGTTTCATTACAGGTAATCAGAACTTCTCCACCCAAAAAACATTGAAGTTCCATATGAAGTACAAACACCTGGAAAGCAGACTTGTCTACCCATGCCCTGATTGCCTTGAAATATTTTCCACTTCCTGGAGTGTATACCGTCATCTCTTCAAAGTCCACCGGTATATCCTAAGACTAATATTATGAACCTACAAAAGAGGAAATATTATTCTGTTATTATGATACATAGTGATATTTATCAAATTAGGTATTTTAAAAATGATATAAGTAGATACTTAGCAAGTTAGTAGGTGCTTCATTTATTTTGTTATACCTACTCATCTAGTTTAACTGAACATTGCAGAAAGTCAGCTGCTCAAATCCGAAGGCTAAGGGAATCCATACAAACTAAAGCTTTTAGAATGAACAATCCACCAGCATTCTATGAAAAACGTAAAAACATTATGAAAGCAGCACAGAAGATTACTGAAGAAGAAAGACTTGATCAAGAGAATCAGGTTTGTTGCATCCTGTATACTATAGGGTGTCTTTTTAAGTATGGATCAAACAAAGGATTGATCACTAATCTGCTTTGTGCATTTGAGCAGTAGAATCAATCCTTTTTGTTTCATCCATACTTAAAAAGACATCCTGTATAAATACTTTTATCAGTGTTCAGTCCAAGATTTTTCTCTTGAATAATCGATTGACTTCTAAACGCTCTTTAACTCAGCTACATAGATATTTTTCTGATATTCAAGCTGTTTTCGCAACATTTTTCAATGATGCTCCGCTCCTGTTGGTCGTAGCGTGATGTTGTATAGCTTTATAGCCTTCCTCAATAAATGAAGCTATGCTATCCAACACAAAAGAAAATAATCAAATCCCGGTAGTTCTTACGATAAGCACGTTCAATAGTTAGTATGTATGTCAATATAGACAAATTAGCTGCCGCCCGCGACTTCATACGCTTGGTCCCCGTTTTACTCCTTTAGGGGTTGAATTTTGCAAAATCCCGTCTTGGTGAGCATCTACGTTCTAAATCTAAAAGGACCATGCATATTTTGAGACTCCTAGCACTTGTACTTTCTGAGATTTTGTGATGAGTGAGAGTCAGTGACTTTTCTCTTTTATAAATAGATTAAATTGTTATTGATATCGTTGCAGGCATGGATGGACAACGTGGAGGGCGACGGCGACACGCCGCGCTGCTTCGGTTGCGGCCGCACGTTCGAGCGGCGCGCGGCGCTGGCTGCACACACGCACACGTGCCAGCCGCGATCGCGCGCGCTCGCCGCCGCGCGCCGCCTGCCCGAGACCAAGAAGATCGAGATACAGATCCGCAAGGACTACAATAAGGGGCCCGCCGCCGTCAGCCTGCCCGTCAAGGCCGATGCGGCTGCAGGTACTGCGCAATAATAATAATAAATACTCTTTATTGTACACCAGAGAACAGAACAGAAAGAAAAAGAAATACACAAGGTACAACTAGGCGGTCTTATCGGTATAAAGCGCAATTTATAATTTAGCGTGAGTGTCCACGGAGCGGCGGCGTCAAGTACGCTAGCTGCTACTAGTAGTACTTGACGCCGCCCCTCCGTCGACAAAGTTACAATGTTTTGTTAGCTGCAAGCAGGCGTACGCCAAGGCAAGGGTACAATCGTACAATGCCGCGTACGCATCTAGAACGCTTAGTCTTCTGACGCGCTATTTTTTACAAGCTTTTATTTAGTTTTTGTTTAGGCAAATGTCAGAAATAAAGTAATTTCAGTATGATTCGTTCATTAAAAATATCCAGAAAAGCACTTGGTTTAAAAGTAAACCAAAAAATACAGAAAGTCCGATTTTTTAGAATGAATGAGTAGTATTCACTGGATAGAAATAATGTATTGATTCCTTTATATCAGACAATTAGTATATTGGGAAAAGATCCGACTAGCAATTGAACCTGGAACCCAATGCCTCGAAATCTTCGTACTTTATTTAAAATCAACCATTTCTTTTCAGAAAATAAGGCAAATGAAGACACCTCAACAACTTCAAAGCCATCAAAAGATAGTGAAGATAAGACCACTGATAAACAACTTCCAAATGAAGAATTAGAAGATGCTATGGATGTTATGGATGACGACGAAAAATCTGATGACACCGATTCACCTGTAAAACCCATGGAAGTGACTCCGCAAATTTCCAAAAAGCCAACCATCAAATTACCTTTCGCACAACAAGCAGAAAAAAGTAATTTAACAGCTTTCAGGCAGAAAATTCAACCAGACATAGAAGTTAACACATTAACGTGCAAAAAATGTGATATACAGCATAATTCTGTTCAAGAGCTGTATGACCATATGGCCGGTCACTACAAATGGATGCGGTATGCTTGTAAACTATGTAATTTTAAGACTTACTCATTTGAAAAGCTTCCTGAACACGTGAAAGTGGTGCATAAGCTGAAAGGCGATAGCGAATTTTATTTCAGCACTGTTAAAGCTATTGATGGTAATGAAGCATTAGAATTGAGTGAAGTAATAGAGGAATCAGATGCTAACGATGTCAGTCCAGACTCACGACGTCAAAGCAGATGTTCTAGTGACTCGAGTCGCCTGTCCGACGACAGTTCCTCAAGCAGCACTCGCATGGAAGCTGGAAGTAGGAAAAGAAAAATGTTTCATATTAAAAACTCCGCAAAACGAAAGAAGGAGTCTTTGAACAATGGTAAATAAAACAATATTTTATTGAATATAATACAGTCGCCCATTTTAAACCTTTCCTGATATTTACAGACCTTTACTTATTAACACTTTTTTCTTTTCAGATGAGGATGATGATAAAGCAGATCTTTCTTTAGACAAAGATACAAATTCGTTGGACAATGACACATCATCGATTTCAAAAACATTCGAAGAAAATTCATCAGATATGGATGATCTTGATGATAAGTTATCAAGAAGACAATCAATGGAACCGACTACATCAGTGGCATCGCGAAGACCAGTAAGGAAAAAAACTAAACCCAAAAATGAAGACTTTGAATATGATTTATCAAATTTGTTGAAAATGGAAGCACAAGGTTATAGAGATGCCCAGTCCTCAGTGACCACAAAGACAAATCAAGCCAAGAAAAAGCCTAATCAACAAGAAAATCATAACTTTTATGATATCATCAACAGAGATTGCTGTGGAGCACTGGCCACACTGTCCAAAAAAGCGGTAGAAGTATCAAAGGCTCACATGAAAAATGTTAGCTTCATAAATGCTGCTCCTAAAGAATCACGACCTTCAAATATATTTGTGAGACCTATGCTACCTAAAAGTATGTCTAAAGGAGAAAAGAACTCCCCAAAAAAGGAATTAGTTGAAGAAGCAAAAGATAACTCTAGTCCACAAAAAGAAGACGAATCCAATAAAAATGTTGAGAAGACAGTTTCAAATTCTGAAAACGAAAATGAAACAAGTGAGGAGATAAAAGAGAATCCAAGCAAAGAACAGGACCCATCAAAACCCGTGACAGTAAGACAAACCATTGCTACAAATATGAATATTCCGGCTGTATTGCCTATCAAATTCCGGCGCCAAAGTTTAGAATTTATTAAGAATCCTATAATAAATAAAAATATTACGGATTTCAAAAAAGCTGGAATGAAGACTAAAATTTTAGTAATAAAGCCAATTAACAGGTCTAAAGATGGACATCCACCAACAAACACCCCTCTGAAGTTCCAGACTATAAAATTAAAAGATCCTTCAAAGAGTTCATCGTCGTCAAATGACGAAAAGTCTTCTGATCAAGTGGTAGTAGTAAAGGTTCCTAAAGTTGATGCCATTGCTAGAACTGTTGCCGATTCTAATGCCATTAATACTGAAAAGACAAAATGTTTAGCAAATAATGTAAATTCAGTAAATAATAACGTTAGTGACGATAAAACTAACATCGAAAGTGACTCAGTGAAAGTTGAAGAAACTTTAAAAAGTGATACTAGTGATAATTTACCTGATTCTGAGGAATCCAAACTGGTTAGTGCAGATAAAGAGCTTAAAACGGATACTGACATTCCGGAAAATATTTCTGATGGCTCATAACAAGTGCGTTAAAATATTCTAACTTTTATAAGAATGATGTGTGCAAAAGTACTATATGATGATAATTCTTATCCCAATACTTATATGCTACTTTTGCCACTGCTCAACCTCATTTTAATGATGGTATTTACGCCTCGCTGCCTAGTTCCATTTAGGCACTTTCGTTAAAACACTATTTACTGTATTAAAATTGTACTCACTTCTTTATTATTTCGAAGGTTACTATAAAGTAATCGTTAAAGTCATCTTCAGTAGGTATTTTATAAGTTGTGGACATGAGTTGAATTCTCTGAACAATTTAGGGACTAGCAATGTACTTTTCTGTTTGTCAATTTCATCTCGTTTTACTTAGAAAGGTCTATTAATTTTATATTTGGAAATTAGTCATTTTCTTTAGTTCAATTGCATTTTATTTTCCAACTTGTTTTTCAAAATGTAATATTGATTCTAGATAAGCTAGTTAGGAGATACTGAAATTAAATACCTATGTATTATTCTTGAACTTATCTTTTTAACTATATCGTATACCTGAAACCCGAAACTCTTCTGGCACTGTGCTTGGGGTTCCTTACGTGTGATAACGAAATTTGCTACATTTAATGTAACGAGTGCATCGAACGGATCCCCATCGTATGTGGTAGGTAGGTACGCCACATCCATGGGTGAAGTTGCTTTGAAGAAACTACTTATCTGACGTAAAAAATCTCACTGGCCTAGCCTAGGCCAGAAGCTGGGTACGCCCATGGCCACATCGAATATCGCGACAGCGAAAGGTCTTGGGCAGCTCATGTCCCGATCTATAGTCTTATGACAAAACCTCCGATGGGCGGCCAATGGCAAGGCTACTTTATTGAGAATATCGAGATGCATGCCGGGCCCGGGTACAAACATTAGGGCAGTATAGGTTAAGAGCTACGCTCGTACTTATTTATAAAGAAAAGAGACATACGTATGTACACCTCAGGTGCCCTCTTCACGCTTGGCCTAGTAGTATGTAAGCATCAGGTGACTGCTCTAACCACCGACCTAACATGCTTTTGTGTCTAACCTTCCTAGGATACATGCGGCACAGAACTTGGAGATAAACATGTTCGTCATTATAACTATAATTTACGATCGCAAATGCGGGTATTACCGCGACCCGCCTCACTCGCTTCTTATTATAACAATCCGGGTCTTTATCTAAGCCGCATGAGGGTTCCGAACCCGTTAACCAAGGTAATCACCACAACCAGAAATTCGCCTAAGATCGATTTGCTAAGAAAATATTAGAAGGCGCTAGCTAACTGAAAACCAGAATACTTATCCCACCTACTTTTTCTTCTGCTGGAAATAAACTTTTGGCTGGGATTATCTTTTCAATTTATTGATTTGTATTGGCCACATGACTTTCCTTTTTATCTAGCTGCAAATAAATGGACCCACCAGTGGGTATTAGCGGTGGTGGGATCGTGGGACCACGGTTAATAGGGGGTTTATGTACCTCGTACTGGAAGATATGTAATACTATTGACATTGTTATTAGGCTTTATGTTATTAGGGTTTTATTCCGTGATTCAAATTAAATTGCGTGAAAAATCTTATAAAAATTCGTATTATCGCAGTAATGTTACGAAACAAGATTTGATCGAGTTCATGTCGCTATGTTATGTCGGTTATGTAAGAAGAATTCATAGGTTATTATTACAATGGATTCCCAATTTGTGATAAAAATGAAAATGCAGTATAGGTTACCACTAATTTATTTAATAAGAATATTTTAACATGTTCTCATCCATCCTCAATGACACTTAAGCATTCTTGGCGAGAGTATCAGCCTTAGCAATAACTTCCTCAATAGGACCAACCATGTAGAAAGCAACCTCAGGTAGGTGATCATACTCGCCCTGTAGAATCTTGGAGAAGCCCTTGATAGTCTCCTCAAGAGGCACCAACTTGCCAGCATGTCCAGTGAACACCTCGGCCACCTGGAAAGGCTGTGACAGGAATCTCTGGATCTTGCGCGCACGGGCTACGGTCAGCTTGTCCTCCTCGGACAATTCGTCCATACCCAGGATAGCGATGATGTCCTGGAGGGACTTGTAGTCCTGCAGAATCTTCTGAACGCCACGTGCGACATTGTAGTGCTCGGCGCCAATGATGTTGGGGTCCATGATACGCGAGGTGGAGTCGAGAGGGTCGACGGCTGGGTAGATACCCAACTCAGCAATGGCACGGGACAGTACAGTTGTAGCGTCCAAGTGAGCGAAAGTAGTGGCAGGGGCAGGGTCAGTCAAGTCATCAGCTGGCACGTAGATGGCCTGCACAGATGTAATGGAACCTTTCTTTGTGGTGGTAATACGCTCCTGCATGGTACCCATGTCAGTGGCCAAGGTAGGTTGGTAACCTACAGCAGATGGAATACGACCCAGCAGGGCAGACACCTCAGAACCAGCCTGGGTGAAACGGAAAATGTTGTCAATGAAGAGTAGCACGTCCTGGCCTTCCTGATCACGGAAGTACTCGGCGACGGTCAATCCAGTCAGGGCGACACGGGCACGCGCGCCCGGGGGCTCGTTCATCTGACCGTACACAAGAGCTACCTTGGAGGTCTTGTCCTTCAGGGAGATTACCCCAGACTCAATCATCTCGTGGTACAAGTCGTTACCCTCACGGGTGCGCTCTCCTACTCCAGCAAACACAGAGTAACCACCGTGGGCCTTGGCTACGTTGTTGATGAGCTCCATAATCAATACGGTCTTGCCCACACCAGCTCCACCGAAGAGGCCAATCTTTCCTCCCTTGGCGTAGGGAGCCAAAAGATCTACGACCTTGATACCAGTGACCAGGATCTCCTGCTGGACAGACATGTCCACGAACTCGGGCGCCTCGGCGTGGATAGCGGCGGTCTTGTCGGTGGGGATGGGGCCGCGCTCGTCGATGGGCTCGCCGATGACGTTGATGATGCGGCCGAGGGTCTCTGCGCCCACGGGGATACGGATGGGCGAGCCGGAGTCGTGCACGGGCTGGCCGCGCACCAGACCCTCGGTACCGTCCATGGCGATGGTTCGGACGGTGTTCTCTCCCAAGTGCTGCGCCACTTCCAGGACCAGCCTGGGGGAACGGTTCTGAACCTCCAAGGCATTTAGGATAGGTGGAAGGTTGTCCTCGAACTGTACGTCGACGACGGCACCGATAACAGCAACCACCTTACCTTGCCCTTTGCCTGCGGCTTTGGCTGCGTAATCCCTCTTGTTGCTTGCGGTTACGGCGGCGACCTTTCCACATTCTGTGAGGGTTTTCTCAGCAACAGTTTTAGCGGCTAAAAAGCCGCTTCCAACCCTACTTACAGCCCCGAACATTTTGAATAATCTGGAGCACTTGGGCGAAGAAAATTCAGCGGCCGCCCGAAATTATGTAACCTAAAATTACTATAGACAATGCAATGTGGATGGTCGGTGGAAAATGGATAACATGACCATAAACACAGCGGACTATACTTTTTCAGCTATTGGTCACACTAGTTGAGCTATAAATGAGCTCAGTGAAAAAATACTCTTTGTATTGAAATTGAGATTGGAGGAGAAATATTGAAAATTAATTTATTCCATTTTTATCATAAGAGGATTATAAAACGGAGATGCAGGTTGAAGCGCGTGCTTAAAACAAAAACTGCAATTTATTAAGACCTCTCCTTCACTATCGACTATTATAAGATCTTTGGTTCACATTATGAATGGAGAAGTTTACTCTATGGTTATGTTAAAAATTCTTCACTTCACTTTACCACAGAGCGCTTTAAAAAAAAGTAAAAAGTCAAAACAGAAAATTCTGAGCTTCATTGAGAAATGTCTAGTTATTTAGATTTTTTACTATTTTATGGATGAATTAAGTCAAAATCTGCAATAATAGTGTTAAAATTGGTTGTACCTATTAATAAAAATGTTTCGTCGAAGCTTTATTACTCCTGGGGTACGTACTATTATTCTCTCTTTACCGAATAACCTACAAATCATTAAATACAATTTTTAATTATTAGTACTGCTGTTTGTAGTAATAATTATATAAATAAAATTATTTTTTCATATCTCAGGTTTTGTGGCTGAAGCGGAACCAAATTAACACCGATTACGCAAGACAATTGCAACCTCAAGTCCATGTTTACAAACGGGAGCAAGGCACAGTTGCCGTAGAAGATAGTTATGTAAAAAAGTTCATGAAAGCTGTTGGTTGGATGGATCAGTCACGTACTGTAAGTGGAACTGTAGTTTATCACTTATCTGTTCTTTAGTAACTTAGTACACTTGATCTTAGGTTATGTCCTGTAGATTTCTCGTTTACAAATTTTTACAGTATTATGTCACTTAATAGTGTATTTTTTTTCTAGCGTCTCAAACTAACTGGCTACTTCTTGTATGAAAGTGTTCCTGACAAAGTAGTTTATAAAGAATGGTTTGATAAATTAGATTTGCCAGATACATTTGTTTCTTGGTTCACTATTACTGAGCTGCATGTGTGGATGTTGATGGTGCGATACATGGCAGAAGATATCATCACATCACCCAATGGTAATCAACAATATGTGAAAGGAGATGGCCATTTCGTAAGGAACTGTATCATTGAAGCTTTATGGGCGGATGTTGGAAATAAAATCAAACTTTTGGAGGTTGGTACAGATCCTTTCCTTAAGTTTAATAGTATTTGCTCTGCATTAATTTTCATAGAACTTTACTGTTTTCTTCTACATGTAAATCAGTATTAAAATATTTCCTTTATAATTTATAGGGTGCAAATCCAGCAATAGCAAGAAAACAAGTATCAGAACTATCTGAGCAGTTCCAAGCTGCCTTAGTGGGCTACGATGAGGCATTGAATGATGACAAAATACTGGCTGCAGCAATCTGGAGGCGCTTTTATACATTATCAGAAGATGCCAAGGCAGAAAATGTTGAAAGGATTGTTCATTTTGTCAGACATCAGGTGGGCTATATTGATTCATATTGGTCTAGTTTAACTTTACTTGGTTTTTTTATTATTGCTAATAGCTTTAGACATAAGTTCCTAAACTTGACTGTATACAGAAAAAGCAATAAATCCTATTCTGTTCTTAAATTAAAGGTTAACATACAAATTTTACATAGGTCTGATAATGTACTATTAAAACAGGAATTTATTCCACATATTAAATCAATGTATTTCTTAATTTCAGATATCATTATTGGACAAGATTCCTAGTGAAGATTTGAAATTCAAACCTAACATTGCTTGGTTAAGTATACTAGATCACTAGTTTTATAAGTTTTATGTAGGGATTTTTTTTGTAATATACTGTTGATTGTTGTGTAAATATGAAATGAAATTAATTATGGTTATTTATTATACAATCTATTATTTCTGTTAGGAGTAAAACATGCTTCTCAATTCTTCACATCTCTGTCGTTCCCACAGTACATTTACAACGATTTTACAAAGATTGTCTAACTTGCAGTAATCATTGTTACAGTTAGGCCAGCGCACGTCACTGATTTTGGAATAAAATGCGTTATAAATGTCGAGCAAGTGACGATTGGTTGTAACCATTGAATAGACTAGGTCACTCATTGATTTAGGCGTAAGGTCAGGGAGACCGAAAGTATTCTTCATGTCGTACAGCAAAAACCAGTGCGGCCGACGATTGGGCGTGAGATTTGCTTCTGTGAGATTGTAGGCATAATTCAGAATTCTGTCAGGGGTCTGTGAACAAAAAGTTAATTATAAATCTTAAAATATTAATTTAAAACGACATTTACATTTAACTGCCGGAACACAAACAATGCTGTTATTATGGCGAGTGGCGACAGACTTAGGTAAGATGGTGGTAGCTAGCCAGGCGGAACAAGTCCTACCACCATCCACTATCGTCCTAACAAAGCTAATCCGAAAGAACTTAATCCGGCTGCTATAGGAGACCTAACGTAATGACTAACTTTTAGACGCAACAGTTGGCGCCCGACGAGTTGTTTAATTCGTATTTATTTATTTGATCAATGCATTTCTTATCAGGTTGAAAAATTGGTCAAACTTGTATTCTAACAAAATTGTGAAATAGTTATGGGGCCTTGTCGAAGTCTTTGGGAACCAGTGATAAAATTCTAATAACTTAAATTTTAAAATACTTACAAAATTCTGAGGGTTGAATGTAACAATTTTATAATTTAGATTGTAAAAAGTGTAGGAAGTCACACTGCCTCCTCCCCAAGCCACATTTATAGGTTCATTGTCAGGACTATAAAATACTTTGAATTCATCAGAATGCGTGTGACCATTGAATTCAGCGGCGATGGTGTCTGAGAATCTGAAACGAAAATAATTAAAATTGTTGTTCATTTGCGAGAAAGCCGCCATACGATTTATTACGTGTACCCAAAGTAGTCTATTTTATTTCTTTTTTATTACTGTAGTAATAATTCTCACCTGTTAACAATTCTGTAGTACTCTCTAGTCCACGTGTGCGTCAAATCATGCACTCCAGGCGGAATGTGGGCTAGAATATGCACTTTCTCACCAGCTAATTCAGCTTTATGTAGTTCTTCGATAAGCCAGTCCAAATGCTTTTTCGAGTCTAGAGGATCATAAACTAGCCACCTGCAGATTATTTAAAATAATAAATTATGTATTACAATAAATAATACTCCGGAAAACATCACTAAAACGATATCCCTTCTCTTTCCTTATCCAGAAATTTAAAAAAGTCGACGAGACTAGACTAAGTTATGTATGAAACACAGCCTAAAAATGTTACTCACCAATTATTTCTGTAGGCAACATTGTTATTCAGTGATATGACCCTCAAACCAGGTCTGGCCAGTAATGAAAAGCCTCCACTTTGGAGTAGAGTATCTACTGCCTCGTCTGATAAATAATGTCCCCATTTATCAGCTAAAGATTTGTACAACCAAGTCGTGTTCAATTTTGGTCCAACAACTGTGGCTGGCGCAAATCTAAAACAAGTTTCATTTTAATGTGATACCAACAATCATAAAAATATTTTGCTTCATTCTTTAGTTGTTAATTTGCACTTCTATTTCATTAGATAATTTATAACAGCCTGTATAACTAAGGACGTATTGACGGTGAGTGAAGTATATTGATACTTTGAAGTCAAGATTTTATGATAACTGTTATTGACCTGTTATCTAATCTATGTGTCTTATGTTGCTTTTATGTTAGGAGATATCAACACAGGAGTATTGCTTATGGGTAGCTAGTAGTCTTAATCCGGCACTGCCCATAAGCGATATTAAAGTTTTCTTACTGGTTTGTTGGTTGAGATTCATGATTTCCAATGGCTGGCACCACTAAAACGTCTTCTCCAAAAATTGATTTTATTTTCTTAACAAGGTATAGATTCATATCATTTATCAGTTCGTACGACGTCTCCCAAATTCCGTGATCGATGGTATCTCCCACGTAATAGATCAAGTCAATGTCCTGTAACAAAACGATGAGTTGATTATATAGGGTGCTCACAAAACAATGAGTTGATTATACAGGATGCTCACAAAACAATGAGTTGATTATACAGGATGCTCACAAAACAATGAGTTGATTATACAGGGTGCTCACAAAACATTAAAACATATTATCCATTATACAATATGTTAAATTTCTCGGCCTACCTTATGGTTTTCGTGAATATTTTCAATCGCGTCATCGTATGCCCAAAGGGGTGTGTCACAGTTTCTGTAGTCTCCCCAGTAACCAGCAGGCGGCGACTGACGACTGCTAGTCTGGTACCTGATCCGAGCTGACTGTTCTCCTTTGCTATCCGAGGCACTCAGATTCAATTTTATCTCCCCATGGTCATGTATTAGGCTTCTCTCGAGGAGGGACCCCTCATGGTTGTATACGTAAGAGAAGCTGCTTCTAGGCCTCTGTCCTACTCTACAACAGGTAGGCTCGTCACAATCTGCTACTCCGAACGCTTTGTACAGAGGGTCGATGTGAACGTCTGTTATAAGTGCCACTTTGAGTGGTTTCTCGTCATATACCGGTGCCTGGAATTATTAGTTTAAAATTGGTTTTCAATATTTCGCTATAAACTTCGAAACACCTAGGTAGTTTCAAAGCCACAATAACTTTATTATAGTGGGTCTTTGCAGAGATAATACGAAAAGTTAATAACATGGTATCCTTCCGTTTGGCCAAATTACTTTTCGCCAAATATCACTTCGCAAACAACTTATCGCCAAAGTTTCATTTCCCAAATGAACTTTTAGCAACTGTACTTTTGGCAACTAATTCATTTGGTCAAATTATCATTTGGCAAATGTTTATATAGCAAATGTTTTATTTTGCCAAATATTATATCCCAAATAATTTGTTTGATCAAATTGACACTTCACAATATCATATATTATACTTACCCACCGTTAACCACAAATCAAAGCATAAGGCAGATGATCATGANCCGATAACTGCAACCACCTTACCTTGACCCTTCCCTGCAGGTTTGGCTGCATAATCTCGTTTGTTCACAATTACTCCGGATACCGGAGTCGTTTCTTTAGCGGCATTGTTTACTACCGCCCTTGTGGCTACTCGGCCAGCTCTACAGACGGTAGAGAACATTTTCGTCGTTTTGTCGATTTACACTAGTATTTGATAATAATTATTAAAGACTGCAAAGTATCTCCTACGAATACTTTACGTAAGAGGGAAGGAGGGACTGAGGGGGAGGGGAGGTCGCCGAATCGGCCAAGCAAGTATTGAACAGGCCACAGATAAACAATCTCTTACTTTACCCATAGACAAAAAAAATATATTCTCCATTGTATTTTTTTTAATGTTGATTCATAGGTATTATATCTTTGGGTGTCAGCTGATGTCTGTCAATGTCATCACGTTTGGCACTTGATCAAATATAGATGACCCACGCTGAACTGTCCCACCAAACTCAATGACAGGGGGGCGCTACCATCGTTCAACTATATGGTTTCCAACATGACAAAAATCTGAACCAGCGATCCGGTATTGACGGTGGCGCCCCACTGTCAATGTCATCGACAGGACAATCCAGTATTTTGGAACTATAAGTAAAATCTGTGCACTTGATCTGTGGGCATTGGCATTGGGGAGGAATTTGGAAACGATAAAGTATTTTAAAACTTGTATTTACTTTCAATTTCGTCTTACATTTTTTATTTGAGTGCGCCTGCTATCTATAAAGCAGCTACTGGCTGTATAGTGATAGTAACAAAATAAGAATTTGAGTAATTGGTGTGTAATCGTCACCTTAGCACGTGTTTCTTGGTTGTGCTGTGTATACGTTTTAAATCAATTCTAAATATTCACATTTATATCAAACTACAGTGCAGATATGGAGTACATTTCACCAGATGAAATCCCTAACGCCAATGGTACTCGAATGTAAGTATTGAATTTTGAGGTTATGTGTATACATTCTACCTGCTAGTTTTAAAACGTTCAAGCTCTTAGTAATACTGAAAAGATAGTAACAACCTGAAACAACATTTATCGTGTTATATTATAAACAAGTGCTCAGGTCCAATTAGAAACAACAAATTGAATTAATCTATGATCTTTCATGATACCTACATCATCATGATGTTGAAAAGCTTTAAGAACTTGAATGTTTATATACCATACCATAACCTAATATACCATATAGTACTACAAAAGGTGTACCTTTTTTAACCCATAAACTCAAGTAAATATGCAAATTCCATCTCTGATTTAGAAAATCAATCACACATTTTCACTAATTATGCAATAGATAAACACTGTGAACTACATCAGTCAATGAGAACTTGTCATGTAACTGAAGCTATGTGGCTATATTTTGTTTACAGTTTATGCTGCCAGTGCGCAGTGCCCATAGAAGCCAATCCATCCAACATGTGCGTGGCTTGTTTGCGAGCTCACGTTGACATCACAGATGGCATTCCCAAACAAGCAACACTATTTTTCTGCAGGGGCTGTGAGAGGTAAACTTAATGCAATTTTCTTTTATTCAGAAACAAAGTATAAAGTTTAGATTCTAATTAATGTTCTCAACTTTCTTTTAATTGTAATTTTTAAAATCTGAATGTCATTATGAATAAAATTCAACCAAAATCTTTGGTTTTTTCATGTCTCTTTTTATTGTTTTGTAACAGATATTTGCAGCCACCTGCTGAATGGTTGGTGTGTGCTCTGGAGTCCAGGGAGCTCCTGGCTCTGTGCTTGAAGAGGCTGAAGGGATTGAACCGAGTTAAACTCGTTGATGCTGGTTTTGCCTGGACTGAGCCACATTCCAAGAGGATTAAAGTAAGTTGTATTACATTAAAAACTAATTATAAAGTAGTTTACATGCCAATAAACAGTAGAGCATGTTGATATTAACCTAGTAGTAGTAGTAGGGACCTGTATAAGTAATATTATGCCTGACACAAGTTTCAGTAATTAAATTAACTTAGTTATTTTTTAACTCAATTTTCTTATCTCTGAACTCTCACAATTTTTAGGTTAAACTCACTGTGCAAGGAGAAGTTATGGGTGGAGCAGTTCTCCAACAGACATTCATAGTAGAATACACCATCCAGCATCAGATGTGTGATGCCTGTCACCGCTCCGAGGCCCAGGACTATTGGAGAGCTCTGGTGCAAGTGAGGCAGCGGGCAAATAACAGGAAGACATTCTACTACCTTGAGCAACTGATATTGAAACACAAGGCGCATGAAAACACTCTGGGAATCAAGCCTAAGCATGGTTTGTTACTATTATTTATTTAAAAAAATTGTTGCACATAAAAAAATTAAGCACAAAAGGCGAACTTAATGCCTTATGGTATTCTCTATCAGTTGAACTTTTTCATATTTTTTTATTGAAACTAGAGAATTCCATGATGACTTAATTCATTATTACTTTGCAAACTTGACTTCATAGTCAAGTTTGCAAAGTAGTTTCATAACTACTACATATTGTTTTAGATGGGCTGGACTTCTTCTACGCAACTGAGAGCCATGCACGCAAAATGGTAGACTTTGTGCAATCAGTGCTACCAATAAAATGCACACATTCAAAGAAACTTATATCCCATGACATTCACAGCAACATTTACAACTACAAGTTCACCTTCAGTATTGAAATTGTTCCGTTGTCTAAAGACAGTCTGGTGTGTCTACCCAAGAAACTGACGCATCAACTTGGATCTATTTCGCCAATTTGTTTGGTGAACAGAGTTACAAGCACCATACACTTGATTGATGCTAACTCTGGACAAGGTAGGCATGCTTTTCAATGAATTAAATCCTAAAATATTATGTCAAATATATTATTTTTAGGTATTCAAATATTTATATCATACACATTTCATTTTATTTTCAGTGTGTGACCTGTCCTCAACGTTGTATTGGCGACACCCTTTCACGCCAATATGCAACCCAAAACAGTTGGTGGAATATGTGGTGATGGACATTGATATCCTAAAAGAGCATGTAAGTAGTTTCTATTCTATGTCTTCACGCATTAAAATTAGCAGTCACTGAAATTCGCGCACATAGCGCAGTGCCTAATTTGATGGCTATTACACTCGTTCAAAATCTCGGAATGAGCGCGTTTAGGCATATCCGGTTATTGAAGCACTGTTTGTTTCCAACGAGTGTAAAAGACCTATAAAAATGCAGATCTAAAAGAGCCAATAAGAAGGGTACTATTAAATATAATAATAGAGGTTTTCGACAATGTTTTAACGTTCTAATATTGCCAGGAAAAGAAATCATTCCCCGGGCAAGGCGCAGTATCCAACAAGCACGTAGTCGCAGATGTTTGGGTGGTGCGAGCGAGTGAGTTAGGGCTAGACGTCAGCCCCGTTCACACCAGGACCCATCTTGGACACATACTGAAACCTGGAGACACAGTTTTGGGGTGAGGAAACCAGCACGTATTACACCTACTTGAGCAATATCATTTAAGTGTAGGATATGAGAGGGAAACGGAACGTTAAGATGTGTGAAAGAGAAGGCAGAGTGTGTGAGTGTGACGTACGACAACGGGTGGACGGACGACGAAGCCTGTTACTGCTTATTCCACTACTCTTGACGGGGATTGTCAACGGGGATAAGTGAACTTTTTGTTCACTATTCCCCCTTAACATTAAATTGGAACTTATAATGGGGAATAATGAACTAAAAAGTTCATTAATCCCCATTACGTTCAAAATAAAATGGCTGGCTTAAATATTATCTTATTATTTTCTATCTACAAATAAATAACGTGGGAATAAGAACGGAATTTTAATTCCTACGAATCATTATGTGCCGTCGTCTGTACTAAGGTCTAGCAAATAACAGTCTCGAGTTTGACTTCACAAAAACACCCTCCCGTACCGCTTCCACACCTCAGGCACTGACTCAGTTTGCGCTAGACCAAGACCTGTAATATAGTTCTTCCTCTCCATTGTGCCTAAAAGCAAACCGCGAAAACCAAAAAAACCCTGAGTAATAATTTAATTATTTGTTCACAGCTACAACCTCGAGAATTCCAACGTCAACGATAGCAATTTCGACAAGCTAGATCGTTCGGTGGTTCCAGATGTCTTCCTAGTGAAGAAACACTACGGAGAGAGGTCGGCGAGACGTCGCGCTCGCAACTGGAAGCTGAAACACATGGCTGAAGAATTGCACGAAGGACTTAGTTCTTCTAATGAGTAAGTAAAATATACTATGCGATGTTCTTTAGGTCTACTTACTTGGGGAAAATAGTTTATTTTTCGCTGCGCGATAGCACGCTTATCACACTAAAAACCTTTCGGTAAACGCTCTGAAGACGAATCTTCGGCTCTCAGACCACTGTTTGATTCCTGTTTAAGAACACTACAAACCTTGTCTAGAATTCATGCTCACAGTGGCTCAGGCTAACCTTTGATATGTCATGTTAAATTATTTAAATAATAGTAATTTCCACGTTTTTTCCTTTGCAGGGATTACAACGATTTCCTTGACGATTTGGAAGAGGACCCGACCATCAGACAGAACATCAACATCTTCAAAGATCAAAACCGGATAGCGGTGGACACGGATGAAATCGATCCGACTCTCCCGCGCATCACCCTCGCAGAAATGTTGGACGATCTCAATATCGAGGATGTTGAAATGAGTGAAGTTTAATATACCTATTATATCTTTGTTATTAATATTATAGATAATAAATATAATATTTTTTAACTTTGATATTTGATTTCATGGAGAAGGTCCCAAAGTCCTTAAGATATTTGATTTATGTCCTGAATAACATTCGATTTGTACTCGATTCTGTGATTGGTTAAATTATAAACAAGTTTATACATACATAGCTAGACAGTTGCAATTGAAAGAAAGTAATTGAGTTTTGATATCTGTTTGGTTTTAATAATGCCAATTTTAGGTAAGCCTATTCAGCAGTTACCACCAAAGAACTTGTCGTAGGCTTATTTTTACTGATACCCACACGGGTGTCAGTTCTTTTTAAACAGATGTATTAATCATAATAATCATATCAATTTATCTACGAAATTGCTCCTTATCCTACCTGATATTTTTATCTGAAATAGGTATTTTATAAACGTGATCCACGATGATGATGATAATATTATTTTCTCTAGTTTCGCCGCTGCACTGTTCGCTAGATCCTACATTGTCGAACAAAATACTATTTACGAAATTAATTAAACACAAATAATCTTCGTTTTAATCCGGCTTACTATTGATAGTGTATCTGACTTATTTGGTGACGATAAAATGGTAGGAGGTTGTTACGTGCGTGAAAAAAATATTTAGATGCTTGGAAACCACAAGAGCAGATCGATTTTCCTTTGAAGGATGGTGCGTTAGTATAATATCCTTTGATTACACCCAAGATCTCAGCAAATCATCACAGCGCCCGCATGATATACACTTTCAAGGAATTCGCATGCCGCGCGTGGTACATCCATTTATAAAAGCCTGTGTTAACATTATCGGTCATTGGGGCACGTGTGAGCAGCCAAGATGAAGGTGTTGGTGTATTTATTTATTTTGTGTAGTTTTAGTGCAGCGAACTTGATTCTAACTCCGAGTAAGTAGCAATTTTTTATCTTAATAATTTTTTATTGTGTTTCTAAGTTAATTTATTACATAAAAATAAATTATTTCATTTGAAATTAAAAAAATATTGGAAGTAAGATTTCTTGATTTATAAATCAACTGAATTTAAAAAAAATGACAATAGATAAGAAATAAAAATATGGAAATAGACCGAATTCAAACCCGCGACTTTTAGGTCGCAGTGAGTGCGAACCGCTAACACCTTTAATGTAACTCCTATTCTGTTTTTTTTTCACAGAAGACATTGAAGGGCTTTTTACGAAGTATGTACTGAAGGAATTGACGGAAGACGAAAAACATGTCTTGAAACAAACGCTAGATATCGCACGGTTGCCGGAACCCAGGTCGGCAGAATCGTCGGTTTTTGGTAGAGCAAGTTTTGCAAGAATGGTGATTATTATTTACTTCCTTAATTAATATTTGTAAGATGCCCAACCCAATAAACACGATGTAACCCGCCATACAAAATCAGTCAACGTTTGGACAAAGGTAATTACGCTACTATGCTTGAAAAGTGACAATATTATGAAATGATTTTATTGTCTAACTGTGTCGGCGCCGTTTCGACATAAACTAAGGAGTACCTACTTAATCTTTATCTATATTTATATCTGTTTAGCCATACAAATTGTTTCAAGACCTTCGTGGTTCGATCATCCCGATAATATTGTAACATTGTTGTAACTAGGTCTTTTGTTTGCACGTAAGTGTAGTGTAACCAAAGGAATCTTTGTTTAAAATAAATAGGTAGGTACATATAAAAGATAAAAATAATAACACTTAAGTAACACTTCTTTAGTTGATTAACGTGGGGTTAAGTAATTAATGAATTATTGATTTGATAAGGGAAATCTGTGGTAAATAAAGGAATCCCTGCATTGGGTACGGGACTATACCTCTCGTTCCCACCGCTGTAACTCCTGTGTAGCCAGGATCTACAGCTTGATCCCCAATAAAACCCAACCAGTGAAGGCTAAGTAATTAATTGGACATTCTGAACCTGAAGGTCTGTATTGAGTAATAAGCGACCTCAATTAACATTGTTTCAGAGTCTTGACTGTGTAATATGCCGAAGTGCGTTTAGCGCTCTCTTCACCGGTATACAGCGAGGACAGACAGACGAGGAAGCGGCAGAATACATGACTGCAGTGTGTATCAATCTTGGCATCGAGAGTGCCAATGTCTGCAGTGGAGCTGTCGCGCTGAACATTGTAAGAATATAGTATAAACAATGGATAAAATTAAAAATTAGTAGACATGACTATTAGTTAAGACCTGCATAAACATAGATATAGAATGTGCCCAGTGTCCTTCCCATTCGTAAAGTTCACGGGTTGCTTACATTATAATATTATGCATGCTGTGGTTATCGTTTGTGTGAGAGCAGTTAGCTAGAGACCTTTGGCTTAATTTTTTTAATTGTGTATAATACTGTATCTCATGTTGATAGCCCAATAAAATAAATAAATAAATTTTACTCAGGAAAGAAAAGACATGATTATTCTGGTATTTAATCCTACCTCATACCACCTTTTACGTTACGTGACGTTTTATACGCATTTTACTTCCGTACTTTACCCACTCTATCTGTATAATAGTTACGACTACTACTTTATTTAGTTTAGTAGGTACTATAAAGTAATTCAACCAAATATGGAATAAACTATACTCGTTCCACTAAGATTACACATGCATGCAGGCAAATAACAGTAAAACCAGTAGAAAACCAGAGAAGTAAATGTTATGAATATAAATTAGTCAATATTATCAACTTTTTATCACGTCTTAACAAGTGGATTATCCTATCAGTAAATTCTTTTTTTAATTTGTAATTAACATTTGATGGAATTTCCATTGTAGGTAAGCAGCAATTTCACACGCCCGGCCCCCTTTTATGAAGAATTTTTAAGACTACTTGAACAAAAATGCTAGGTCACTCTATTATTTTATTTGCTGAATTCCTGTTTACTATCAGCAACCAGATAGATCAGTTTTGATGATGATGATGATGATACAGATGCTGATAATCAAGTGACAATACAATCTTCTTGACGTTTATAATAATGTTGATAAAAACAGCTTTTGATTGCTATTGAAATTCTCTATAATTTAGAATTGGTCTGGTCTCTCTTCTAGCGGTTCCGTGTTTATGTGTGTACGTAGAATACTGTAGTTTGCTATGCAGTCGCAGGCCGTAGCTTGAAGCTAGTACTAGCTGCTATGACGGGCCTTAGAGTCAACTCTGTTCAAGAGAAACGTAGGTTAATTTATAACTGATTTTATAAACACAATATCCCCTATTTTCAGCCCATTATAGCTCACATCATTAGAACCGTACCAGCAGCTACACCGAACGCTTTTTGCGGGCTAGTTCTTCAAAGAGTTTCGGACCCAAATTTTTGCCCGATCAACGATTCAAGGTTCGAATGGCAAGTTGATTTACCAGAAAAAAGCAGCTCATTACCTGTAAGTACACCTTCATTAATCAGAACACGGATTTAGAAGTTTTACAGTATTGTAGTGTTATTCATAAAAAATGATTAGAAGAGGCAAATAGAAGCTGCTATGTTTATGTGTGTGTACTTATTTGATGGCAAAAATAATTATGGAGCACCCACACGTATGCACTATTCCGTTAACCCGTATCATTAAATTGTAGGTACATACTATCTTATTACGTGTTTTACATACATTACACAATTCAGGAATACTGAATATCGAAAACGGCATTCTTATGTCTCAATTACAATGAATGTGGAAT